TAGAGGCCCCGGCTGGGGCACTCCCAGCAGCATGGGAGAGATCAGAATTTCATGGGGAAGGGCTTATTTCAGGGTCCATTACATGTTTTTCAGAGCCGTGAAATTGGTAAGGCCCTACTGATGAGGCTTCCTAGTATTGATACACTTCACCCACAGAATGTAGCAGTTGAGCATTGTTTTATTGATGCTTGCTTGGGATAACCTGCATAACTCACAACTGACAAGGACTTCAATGAGTAATGTGGTCATTCAAGCCAATAAAATGTTTAGACCACACCACATTGTGTTTTCTGATCTCCCATGTGTCTGAACCAGCCCTTCAAACTACAATATGTATAATATTATCATTGGAACAATAACTTTGTAAGGAAATTATCCTGGCGCCTTTGAAGTCAGTGGAAGGATTCCCATTGATTTAAAGGGATGCTATCAACCTGCTTATGTGTTGGTTTGCGATTACATGATTGTAAAAACCTATGTTAAACATTCTCTCCTCTTGCTGTATTAAAGATTCCCACTAATGGGGAACTCTTTAAATCACTGGTGATAAAGGGAAAATAGAAAAAGGGTCACGTGCACATACACTAGAAGAACATCTCCTTATTTCCATCTAATTTCTTTCAGCTACAGATTTAGCAGTAGGTTCAAACTACAGCATAGCAGATTTAGATTAAATCTCAGGAAAAACTTCCTAACTGTAAGAACAGTAGGAAATGGAACAGCCTGCCTCAGAAGGTTGTGGAAGCTCTTTCACTGGAGGTTTTCAAGATGAGACTGGATAGTCATCTGTCTTGGATGGTTTAGACACAACCAATCCTGCATCTTGGCAGGGGGTTAGACTAGATGACCCTTGCAGTCTCTTCTAACCTTGTGATTCTATGATTCGGTTTAGGAGTTGGATTAGGATATATTGACTAAACCAATCGTAAGTGCACGCATTGTACAGCAGTGTCAAAAATGCTGGAAGTCCCTGGTTGCTCTTGATTATTTGTGCCAGAATGAACATCAGAATATCTATACTTGGTCAGACAAATGGTCCATCAAGCTCAGTATCCTGTCTTCCGGCAGTGGCTGGTGCCAGATGCTTTAGAGGGAATGAACAGAAAAGGGCAATTATTGAGTGATCCATCCCGATATCCAGTCCAGCTTTTCTCAGTCAGAGGTTTAGGGACACCCAGAACACAGGGTTGCATCCCTGGCCATCTTGGCTAAGAGTTGTTGATAGACCTATCCTCCATGAACTTACCTAAATTATTTTTTGAACCCAGTTACACCTTTGACCCTCTCAACATCCATTAGCAGTGTGTTCTACAGGTTGACAGTGTGTTGTGTAAAGTACTTCCTTATGTTTGTTATAAACCTGCTGCTTATTAATTTCATTGGGTGACCCCTGGTTCTTGTGTTATGTGAAGGGGTAAATAATGCTTCCCTATCCACTTTCTCCACACCCGTCATGATTTTAAAGACCTTTATCATATCCTCCCCCCTTAGTCCTCTCTTTTCTAAGATGGACTGCCCTAGTCCTTTTAATCTCTCCTCGTATGGAAGCTGTTCCTTGCCCTTAATCTTTTTTTTTTTTTTTTTTTTTTTTTTTTTTTGCCAATCGCTATACTTTTTTCAATTCTAGTAGATATGTTTTGAGATGGGCTGATCAGAACTGCATGAAGTATTCAAGGTGTGGGTATACGATGGATTTATATAGTGGTATTATATTTTCTGTCTTATCCTTTCCTAATGGTTTCTAACCTAACATTCTGTTTGCTTTTATAACTGCTGGTGCATATTGAGTAGATATTTTCAGAGAACTATCCACGATGACTCCAAGATCTTTTTTGAGTGGAAACAATTAATTTGGATCCCATCATTTTGTACGTATAGTTGGGATCATGTTTTCCAGCATGCATTACTTCGCATTTATCAACACTGAATTTCATCAGCCATTGTGTTGCCTAGTCAGCCAGTTTAATGAGACCCTTTTGTAACTCTTCGCAGTCAAATCTGACTGCAACTATGTTGAGTAATTTTGTATCATCTGCAAACTTTGCCATCTCACTGTTTATCCCTTTTTCCAGATCATTTATGGACATGTTGAACAGCACTGGTCCCAGTACGCATCCTTGGGGGATTCCACTATTTAGCTCTCTCCATTGTGAAAACTGACCGTTTATTCCTACACTTTGTTTCCTATCTTTTAACCAGTTACTGATCCATAAGAGGACCTTCACTCTTAAGCAATCTAAGCAGTCATGGCATAAGTGCCTTTGGTGAGGGACCTTGTCAAAGGCTTTCTGAAAGTCTAAGTGCATTGTGTCTACTGAATCACCCTTTTCCACATGTTTGACCCCCTCAATGAATTCTAAAGATCGGCAAGGCATGATTTCCCTATACAAAAGCCAGGCTGACTGTTCCTCAACATACTGTGTTCATTTATATGTCTGATAATTCTGTTCTTTACTATAGTTTCAACAATTTGCCTGGCACTGAAGTTAGGCACACTAGCCTATAATTGCCAGGATTGCCTCTAGAGACTTTTAAAAAAAATTGGTGTAACATTAGCTATTCTCTTGTCGTCGGGGACAGAGGCTCATTTAAGCAGTAGGTTACATACCACAGTTAGTAGTTTTGCAACTTCATATTTGAGTTCCTTCAGAACTCTTGGGTTCATACTACCTGGTCCTGCTGACTTACTGTTTCAGTTTTTTCCCCAAAATCTCCTCTATTGACGCCTCAATCTGGGACAGTTCCTCAGATTTGTTACCTAAAAAGAATGGCTTAGGTGTGGAACTCTTTCTCATCCTCTGCAGTGAAGACTGATGTAAAGAATTCATTTAGCTTCTCCACAATGTTCTTGTTGTCTTTGAGTGCTCCTTTAGCACCTCGATCATCGAATGGCCCCACTGATTGTTTGGCAGGCTTCCTGCTTCTGGTGTACTTAAAAAATAAAAAACTTTTTTTTTGCTCTTTTTTTTGTCTTTTGCTAGCTGTTCATCAAATTGTTATTTTATGGTCTACCTAGTTATACTTTTACACTTGACTTGCCAGAGTTTGTTCCTTTCTATTTTCCTCAGTAGGATCTGACGTCCAATTTTTAAAAGATGTCTTTTTGTCCCTGTCTCCCTCTTTAACTCTGCTAGTGATTGTCGTCTTGCTGGTTTTTTTAATTTGGAGTATACATATAGTTTGAGCCTCTGTTACAGTGTTTTTAAAAAGTTTCTATGCAGCTGGCATACATTTCACTCTTGTGACTTTTAATTTCCATATAACTAGCCTCATTTTTGTGTAGCCCTTTTTGAAGTTAAATGCAACTGTGGTGGGCTTCTTTGGTATTTTTCCCCCTACAAGGATATGAACTTTAATTACATTACGATCGCTGTTACCCAGCGGATCAGCTGTATGCACTTCTTGGACCAGATTCTGTGAGCTACTTATGACTAAATCAAGAATTTCCTCTCCCTTTGTGGGTTCCAGGCCTAGTTGATCCAAGAGGCAATCATGGAATTACATAGTCCTCTTTCATCCTCTCAATGGGAAAACAGGTTATTTTCAACCATGATTGATAATATCAACTTGCAACCATTACTTTGGTCATGTTATCTTGTGATAGCATGGTTCATAAAATTAAATATCACTATCAAAAGGCTGATAAATATGGAACTGTGTATATTCAGAAATAATTATCTAGCATCCTTTCCTGAAATTTAAAGAATAAAGAGTTCTCAAACCTTGAGAATTTTACTTAAGGACAGCTATGAAGTAGATAATATCTAATCATTGTCAATAGTGCAGTTTTTTTTTTTAAAGTGTATTGATTTTTATTAAATGTAAAGGATACTTGCCCTTGGAAGCTAAGATTTTGTCACAGTTATTTTTAGTAAAATTCAGGGACAGGTCACGGGCAATAAAGAAAAATTCACAGAAACTGTGATCTATCTGTGACTTTTACTAAAAATCTGTGACAAAATGGGGATCTGCAGGTCCTCACACTGCCTGCAGTGGGGCAGGAGCTCTGGGGGCCCCCACCTGGGTTGTGTATTGGAGCTCCAGAGTCCCCCGTAGCCCATGGCTGGGAGCAGTGAGGTACTCCTCCCACCTGCAGATCCAGGGGTCCCCCGCTGCCTGCAGGGGCCTGGAGCTCTGGGGGCCCCCACCCCGCACAGCTCTGGGGGCCCCCACAGCTCTGGCAGCTGTGGGGTACCCCCACCACCTGTGGCAGCTTGGAGCTCTGGGGGCTGCAAGAGGCGGCAGGGGTATCCCGCAGCTCCCAAGCCCCACAGGCTGAAGTCACAGAGGTCGCTGGAAGTCATGGATTCTGTGACTTCCATGACCTCCAGGACTAAATCGTAGCCTTAATCATGGTTTCTTATACTAGTTTCAGTTTTGATCTACTACCAGTGGAGACAACCGTGTAGCGCTGCATCTTGTAAAATTCTTTGAACACTTAAAAAAACCTAATTTTGCTTTCTGTTGAGTGGTCCGTTTATTTATATTTAAGGAATTTGTGCTCTAGTGGTTTAGAATAAACTCCCAAGAAGTTTACACACTTATTGTGAAGTTAGAATTTTTTGGGTTTAAACAACAAAAACTTATTTTAATTTCCTGAGCCAGTCAGACACACAAACATTCATCAGTTGTGGGCTTTCAAAATATAGAAATACTAGAATTGCTTTTGTGAACATTTTCATAGCTTATATCAGGTACTGTAACACTTGGGAATGTACTTTCAGATACAGCTAGTTACAAAAGATATACAAAAAAGAATCTTTCCATTCATCTTAATTACTGCGCATTTGTGCTTTTTGCTTACATCCTGTTAAGAGAGAGTCTGTCTGATGTCCAGTATGTTTGAACATAATTTACTCTGTTTTTACAGTTTGAATACCAACCTGTGATAGCAGAAAGTGTCCAAACCAACAATTAAGGCATATGGGATTATCTAGAGAGTGGAGTATTTTTTTCTATCAGTCTGTGATATAAAATCTTAACTTATCTTGTGATTGCAGAGGTCAGCAGATGGGTCAAGTCCAGAAGATGGAGAAGGTAAGGAAGTATTTTAGTTATTTTAGATCACTAGTTGCTGTCTAATCAGAATTTTGTCTATTTTATCTCTTAAATCCTTTATCTCTACAGAATCTGACCGTGAGGATGGGAGTTACTGTCCTCCTGTAAAACGTGAAAGAACTTCATCTTTAACACAGTTCCCTCCTTCACAGACAGGTAAAGGGTTTTCTAATTCTTTTACAGCAAGAAAATAAGGGAGAAGATGTACTTCCTTGGTTTCTGTCTAATTCTCCAGTCCTGCCATCATCTTCCATGCTGTGGACAGACTATCTAAAGTGGAGGGCGAGCAGATCCTCTTTCCTTTAAATTGTGCTGCTTTTGCCTCTGCCTTCACTCATGAACCTAAGTCTCATCCACATCACTGCCACAACTGAAGCAAGACAGTGAGGAATGTGGGCTTAAATCAGTAGACAAAGCAGAGATATTAAACAACTTTCTTTACTCATAGATTCATAGATTAAGGCCAGGAAAGATTATTGTGATCATCTAGTCTGACCTCTTGCATAACACAGACCATAAAATTTCACTCAGTAATTCATGCATCAAACCCATAACTTCTCGTTCAGCTAGACAGAATCATTTAGAAAGACATGCAATTTTGATTCAAAGAAAGTGCATCTTATTTCTAGTCTGAATTTGTCTAGCTTAAGCTTCCAACCATTGGATCTTGTTATATCTTTGTCTGTTAGATACAGTATAAACTATATCTATTGAAACCTTTTCTACTGTTCATAGACTTATCAAGCCAACCCATAACTAGTCTTAGATAAAATAAATAGTGACCTTTTTTAGTTTCTCACAGTAAAGCAAGTTTCCAGGCCTTGGATCATTATTTCTGTCACTGTGGATAACACCGTCACTCAGGCCTGTAATTGGGGCGTCATCTTTGACTCATCTTTGTCTCTCGATCCACACTTCCAGGCAGTGTCCGAGTCTTGCTGCTTCTACCTAGCTAAAGTTTCCAAGATTCAGCCTTTTCTTTCTGTCCAGACCATCAAGGCTCTTGTTCAGGCATTTTCATCTGCCTTGACTACTAGTCTCTTCTCTGGCCATGAAACCAGCCACAGCATTCTATTCAAGTCTATTCAAAATGCTGCTACTGGGTTCACCTTCCTGGTACATCACCTCCCTCTGTGCCTCTCTACAGGCTCCACCTCCTCCACTGCTTCAAACAGAATCCTTGCTTTTTAAGACTCTTCACCATTTAGTCCCACCCTTTCCTTCAGATCTATTAACTTATCAAACTGTTGACTTTGCCATCACTGGCATGATGAAGGTGATCTTCATCACTTGCCTGTCTACTGCTCCCTCCAGCATCTACCAACTCTCTTACACTGTTCCCCATACATTGGGGGGGGGGGGCACACTCCCCAACACAAATGGTAAAGCTGCCAAATTTTCCCTCAAGTTGCTCCTTAATCTGTCTACTTCTGTGATGCTTCCAAATCACGGCCAGCTAGCATTGGTTAAGCAAGAGATGAGCTGAGACTTCAGTTTTTTTGCTAATTTGTTGTTGTTGTTATTCCACCCAGTTTGTATTCTCCACTGTCATGTCCTGTCTGACATCTAGCCTGTAAGTTCTTTATTTTCTGTCTGTACAGTACTTGCATGATGCGGCTCTGTTAATTATCTGTACTACAGCAGAACCTAGGAACCCCAATCAAGGATCAATCATGTTGTAGGTTCCCTGAAAGCCTTGGTGATAGCTGTTTAGTTTCATACAATGTAAGGCTAGAAGGGACCATTAGACAACCTAGTCTGGCCTTCTCTAGATCATAGGCCATTAAAATTCACCCAGTTGCTCCTATTCTTAGCCCTAAAACTTCAGTTAGTCTAAAATATCCAGGACTCAGATTAAACAGTGAAGAGAACAAGAGAGACCAAGGTTTCCACCAATGCCTGAGGTCCCTGCAACGGCCAGATGATGATGTCCAGATGATCCTAGCAGGTGAACTATGCCCCATGCTTCAGAGGAAGTTGAAACCCTCCAAGGTCCCTGCCAGTCTGAACTGAGGGCAAATTTTTCCCCAACCCCAAATCTGGCCATCAGTATGGCCCTGAGCATGGCACACCAGCCATTCTTCTAAGAAAGAGGAAAGTGTGAACATAAGAATATAAGGATGGCCGTACTGGGTCAGACCAAAGGTCCATTCAGCCCAGTATCCTGTCTACCGACAGTAGCCAATGCTAGGTGCCCCACAGGGAGTGAACCTAACAGGTAATGATCAAGTGATCTCTCTCCTGCTGTCCATCACCACCCTCTGACAAACAGAGGCTAGGGACACCATTCCTTGCCCATCCTGGCTAATAGCCATTAATGGACTTAACCTCCATGAATTTATCCAGTTCTCTTTTAAACCCGGTTATAGTCCTAGCCTTCACAACCTCCTCAGGCAAGGAGTTCCAGAAGTTGACTGTGCGCTGTGTGAAGAAGAACTTGCTTGTATTTGTTTTAAACCTGCTGCCCATTAATTTCATTTGGTGGACCCTAGTTTTTATATTATGGGAACAAGTAAATAACTTTTCCTTATTCACTTTCTCCACATCACTCATGATTTTATATACCTCTATCATATTCCCCCTTAGTCTCCTCTTTTCCAAGCTGAAAAGTCCTAGCCTCTTTAATCTCTCCTCATATGGGACCCGTTCCAAACCCCTAATCATTTTAGTTGCCCTTCTCTGAACCTTTTCTAATGCCAGTATATCTTTTTTGAGATGAGGAGACCACATCTGAACGCAGTATTCAAGATGTGGGAGTACCATGGATTTATATAAGGGCAATAAGATATTCTCCATCTTATTCTCTATCCCCTTTTTAATGATTCCTAACATCCTGTTTGCTTTTTTGACTGCCGCTGCACACTGCGTGGACGTCTTCAGAGAACTATCCACGATGACTCCCAAGATCTTTTTCCTGATTCGTTGTAGCTAAATTAGCCCCCATCAAATTGTATGTATAGTTGGGGTTATTTTTTCCAATGTGCATTACTTTACATTTATCCACATTAAATTTCATTTTCCATTTTGTTGCCCAATCACTTAGTTTTGTGAGATCTTTTTGAAGGTCTTCACAGTCTGCTTTGGTCTTAACTATCTTGAGCAGTTTAGTATCATCTGCAAACTTTGCCACCTCACTGTTCACCCCTTTCTCCAGATCATTTATGAATAAGTTGAATAGGATTGGTCCTAGGACTGACCCTTGGGGAACACCACTAGTTACCACTCTCCATTCTGAAAATTTACCATTTATTCCTACCCTTTGTTCCCTGTCTTTTAACCAGTTTTCAATCCATGAAAAGATCTTCCCTCTTATCCCATGACAACTTAATTTACATAAGAGCCTTTGGTGAGGGACCTTGTCAAAGGCTTTCTGGAAATCTAAGTACACTATGTCCATTGGATCCCCCTTGTCCACATGTTTGTTGACCCCTTCAAAGAACTCTTAATAGATTAGTAAAACACGATTTCCCTTTACAGAAACCATGTTGACTTTTGCCCTACAATTTATGTTCTTTTATTCTTTACTATTGTTTCAACTAATTTGCCCGGTACTGATGTTAGACTTACCGGTCTGTAATTGCCGGGATCACCTCTAGAGCCCTTTTAAATATTGGCGTTACATTAGCTATCTTCCAGTCATTGGGTACAGACGCCAATTTAAAGGACAGGTTACAAACCATAGTTAAGTAACAGAGGGGTAGCCGTGTTAGTCTGAATCTGTAAAAAGCAACAGAGGGTCCTGTGGCACCTTGAAGACTAACAGAAGTATTGGAGCATAAGCTTTCATGGGTGAATCTTGCGTCTGATGAAGTGGGCATTCACCCACGAAAGCTTATGCTCCAATACTTCTGTTAGTCTTCAAGGTGCCACAGGACCCTCTGTTGCTTAAACCATAGTTAGTAGATCTGCAATTTCACATTTGAGTTCTTCAAAGCATGAAAGCACTGATCCATCCCATTCAGTGTCTCCTCTCAAGTTGTGGACAGTCTCTAATGTTTCAGCGGGAAGTGTGTATGTGGGAGTGGGGGACAGAAGAACTATTCTGCTGACTCAGATTTGAGCCCCAGGCAAGATTAGGTTCAATCTTTGCTGTGCTTTGTCTGAGCACCTCTCTGCTGGTAACCTTCATCACAGTGCCCATTAAATGGAAGTACATTTGAAGATGGAAGCTTGGCACTAGACCCATGGTCACTGGCATGGGGCACAATAATCTCTTGGGCACATGGAGCATCAATTCACAAGGAGTCATCACTGGTCAGTCCTGCGACATGTGAAATTTATAACGCGTTCGCTCTTAGATGATTCACCCAGGGTGGCTAGTAATGAAGAGACACTGCTTGGAGGCATTGCCTCATTGAGTTTGTCATTTATTTGAAATCCTACTAAAATGGAGTAACAGCAACTCCCCTCCCCCCAGTTTAATTAAGGAGAACCTATGCCCTGTGAGACATTTTGGTATTTAGCCTTTGTAGGATTTCTTATTCATACAGTGGTGATTCTAACCTGGCCCTTGCAGTTACCCTTTAAGGCAGCGACTGTTCTTAATGTTTTCATTATTTGGGGAATGTCAGCCACTTGGCTAGTTCATTCTCCCCTCTCCAAAAGATACTCCAGAATAAACTAGGATATCAGCTTTATCAGCATTATGACTGGCACCTAACTGGAGGTGTCAGTGTCCGCTATTGTTAGTTGTTGGAGGGTAGTAACTTGTTGGCTTTCACTGACTGGGTGTGTTCACATTTCTCTATGGGAAGGATTGACTACTCAGATCTATCTTTTGAGAGGTGTTAGAATATCATTCTGCGTCACAAGATCCAGCTGGTCTTTAATCATGCAACTGTATCACACATGTCTCAGCAAGATGAGACTCACGTGATCCCAAGCACCACAGGCTTGGCAGACACAGATTGTTTTACTCATTGAGCATCAGTTTTAACTGTACTCAGAGTACATGATCAGGTGACAGCAAATGTTTTTTGTATGACATTGTCAGTGGTGAATTCAGATACACTGATATACTTATCTCAAGATGCCCTATATTGTAGTAATCAGAATAATGACATTAGGACTTCCCTGCCTGGTGCAGACCAGTATCACATCTTCTCCAAGACTGGACCTCCAAATCCCACAAGGCATGAGAAATTACAGATTATACC